ACAAAGGGTTTGGCTCTGTGCTAAGGACATTACCTTAAGGTCGCTTTCTCGGAAATTGGCACCCCGTTACATTGGCCCCTACGAGATTGCTGCTGTCATCAGTCCCTCGGCAGTCCGACTCAGGCTTCCGGCTTCCTGGCGCATCCACCCGATGTTTCATGTCTCTCAGGTCAAACCGGTCCGTAGCAGTCCTCTGTGCCCACCGTCCGTTCCCCCGCCCCCCGCCCAGCTCATTGACGGTCACCCGGCCTACTCGGTCAGGAGGATCGTTGACGTGCGCCGCCACGGTCGTGGTGCCCAATACCTGGTGGACTGGGAGGGTTACGGCCCTGAAGAGCATTCTTGGGTTCCCCGGTCACTCATCCTGGACCCGTCCCTGATTTCTGACTTTCACACCTCCCTTCGCAGGGCCCAGTCCGGATGGTCGCCGGGAGGCAACCCTTGAGGAGGGGATACTGTCATATGCAGTGGGAGTGTCTGGTCAGGTGTGGTCCAGGTTCCTGTTGTCCGTCCCCTGGGGTGGAGTTGGCCAGCTCATCACCTGCTTCCAATTTCTGGGGCTCCATCTAGAGGGTTTTTAAGCCAGCACTGCCTGCCACTCTTCGCCAGTTCGTCCTGCTACCACCTGTGGTAAACTTGGCCTCCTCTGTGCTCGGACTCTGTGTGCCTGGATCGTGGGTTAATGTGTTCTCCGTCTCCTCACCCGTCGTACTCATCAGCAGCGCTGGTTCTGTTTCGATCCCGTTCTCCAGTCTGCCTAGAACCCTAGGACCACACACTCACCTTCTCCTCAGCCTGCCCTCCAGCCCGTACTTAAACTTCCCTGGACACCTTGGAACCTGGACCAGCTTCCCCACACTCTCAACCATCCCTGGGACGCTCCCACGGCAACCCCTTCCCCGCCTAATAGCCGGTGTTTTCAAGTAAGCACAAGACTCTCCACTAGTACCACTCACTTCTGCCCTTTAATTGAATTCCCATTCAGTAAAACCCTTCTCCTGTGTTTGCAGAAGTTCCCGCCCGTGTTCTCCTTGTGTTCAACATCCGTTTCTCCGCCCTCGGGCCTCCCTCAGTTCCTGCGAATGATTTCTGTTAGACCCAGTCTTGTTTAAGTTCCTTTTCCTTTCAATAAATTGTACATAGTTCGAGCAATTGAGTCTGCTCTTGAGTCCACTGCATCCTTGTTTGTGACAGAAGATCAATAGTAACCTTCAATAGTGTTGTTTCTGTGCTATTATGAACTATAAATCCACACCCATCTTACAGCATCTCTTATAGTCATAGAAAACAAGTTGTGGTTTGTTGCAAATAGTGCAAATTATCTAACTTAATTATAACAAAATAATTGTTTACAACTGGGAATAGGTGTCATTTGAATTTTTATAATATTGAAATTCTAAGAAATGGATTCTGTAAGGTGAAATTGATTAATATTTTTCCAGCTATACCAAAGTCATTAATTCCCTATTACACACACAATCAAGAAGTTGCACAAAGGTTGTTCATATTCTTAAATGGCCCTATTTGTTGTTATTTAATCCAATAATTTTACAAGTGTAACTGTATTGTTTAGTGGCGTGTAGAATGTGGAAAAGGCAGACACTAAACCAGACATTCACAGTAGTGAAGTGCCAGTGAGTAGTGAGGCCATTTTCTAGGGCTCTGGTGGTGTTTGTTACGAAATAAATATATTCTTAGTACTTATTTTCTGATTATATTGTTTTATGTATTTTAACTCATTCACTGCCAGCCATTGGCAGTGAATGAGTTAAACCCATTGACTCATTCACTGCCATTGACGGCTATAGACGTCAATGGCAGTGAATGAGTTAATAATAGAGGTCTTTATAGACCAAGGCCAGATGTGAGAAAGAACTAGGTCAGAGGGTGACAGGTCACCTAGCAACAGAGGCTTTAGTAAGGGGAAGTTAAGAAACAGCAAGTTTAGTGCAGAGCTGCAGAGGCATATTAATAAAGTACAGGAAACCAGACAGAAAAAGCGGAACTAAGTAACACACACACACACATTAGTCAGACCAGAAGGAGTTGTTTTGATCGAAACTGTGTGTGTGACGTATAGCAGAACTATATGTGTATTTTAGCTTGCAATGTTTTCAGAACCGTGGGTGCGTGCCGGGACAGAAAAAGAAGAAAAAAAAGAAAAACTCAAGTTTCCTGTCTGACTGCATGAGTGAAGCTAGGTATAGGACAATTAAATAAAGTCTATGACTAAGTGCAGTAGTGCAGATCTGGAGAAGAAATTTAGTTATTTATTTATAATTTAGTAATGATACATTGTTATAAAGTGTTTAGAAAGTGCTTAATGGGCAATAGTACTGTTGTGCTCTTAACAAGATTTTCTGTGTATTTAGCAGGAGAAACTATGTCAGTTGACCTCAGACTTGTCCAGGACGCTGAAGCACCTGAGGGCAACCACCAATAAAATATAATGTGGGGAAAATGAACAGAGGAAGTGATTTTTAAGTCTGATTTCAGACCATGTAAGTATTAGTTAAGGAGTAGGGCAAAACTTTTATGGCCCGGAAAGTTCTAGTTCCCACAACTTATTGTTAGATTAGTAAACAAAATTTTTCTGTGATTAAGATTTTTGGGGTTTTTGTTTTAGTGATGAGTTAATTCTGTCAGTTAGGTTTGGGTTGTTTTCTTAGTTCAATAGAGGGAGTTTTAAACATGGACATGTCTAGGAGGGGCCCATTATTTTTGTCACAGTGCACTTAGAGAAAACCTGTCAGGTGTCACCCTTATGGTGATGTTTTGTGCTTTGAGTTAATAATCAGCTCTCTTTTTCTAATTCTTTGTTGTAAGCAGGCCTGGTGGATCGAATTAACAGCGCTGTAAAACATTTCTGTGAGAGCAAATATAAGGTGAGCTTTTCCAGATTACAATGGGCTGAGGAAAAGGCTACCTGTGGGAACCGTGTGAGTTCCTGTCTAAAAGGATTGCAGCGAGTCAATCCAGTCCAGAATCATAAACAATGGTTTTTTCTTTTAAAAATGATGACATGACTTTGCGGGTGATGGAGACTGGAATGGGTTGCGCGTAAGTCTCCACTATCCGCAATATCTCGTGTGAATGCGTGTGCATGAATGTGTGTGACTGGACTGTCACTGGACTGACGATGTGGACTAAAGTGTTGACTGACTTGACCATGCCGGTAAGAGAAAGGTGGATGCTTTGGAAGCAGGAGAATAGAGACTGGAGGTTCACATGAGAGTGTGGAGCTGCAGACTTAACCTTTCGGCTGCTAATTTTGGGTTGCTGATGTTTGCTTTAAGAAAATTTGGTTTTATTGACTGGGTTTAGATAAGGGTAACACATTATATTGTTGGGAAAATGCCAAATGCTAAAGGGAAGAACATTTTTGATATCATTGATGTTACCATTAACCATAACAGGCCACTGTAGAAATCAATTAAATTTTATAGAGGAAAATAGTCAGGACCAAAGCAATATTTAGGAATTATATAGGGGAATGGTAGACTTGTCACATTCAAAGTACAGTGATGGAATAACAAACACTGGTCCAAGTGGAAGGGCGTGTGATACGAGGTGGTACTGGAGGAAAACGAGCAAAGTAAAGAAAGCAAACCTATTTTGGTTAGCTTTGATAAAGTCAAATTAAGAAGCACCATGACACTCAGAAGATCAGCGTGAAAGTAAAACATACACAAATTTTGTATGAAGCGCATGACTGATAACTGTTCTGTTTTAAGTTTTGTTTTTTATAGCACAGATTGGATCATAATGAGGGAAGGACAGCGGGAAAAACTGAGTTTCAAATGTGAACTTAATGTTAACACACAGGTTTTGTTTCTAGGTAGTTCGGAGGATGCAGGCTCTGGATGGAACCAGGAGTTCAAAAGATTTAACTGATTTTATTCCTTAAACACAGGTTTGCAGGCCCGGAGCAAATATAGTCGAAAGGGTGTTTGATAATTTAGGTACGGTAAAACCTATGCATAAGTAATTGCCTTTATGCTTAAGCTTAACTGATTGAAAATGTCTGATAGAATAAGCAGTTATAATCATTTTCTTACACATACTGCAAAATATGCTCATAAAGACCTAAGCACTCAGTCTTTTGGTGTGAGGTGACAGAAGTAAAACTAAAAGGTTAATGCATAACATGCTTACAAACACAGACATCACGTAGATTTATTTCTAGGGTAGAGGTGAAACATATTTTTCTTGCTTTGTGCTTGCATAGCAACAGTTGATGCAGGAGGTGTTAAAGATAAGCATGAAATGAATAAGTCAACAGGAAACATCTGGAGGGTGAGACGGGTGAAATAATAGCTTGCAATGTTTTCAGAACTGTGGGTGTGTGCTCGTGTCTGCCGTTCTCCGTTTCTGGAAATGTACAATAAAGATTATTTTTTGAGCTTTGACCACACTGAGTCCAGTCTTTCTCTGTCGCCAAAAGAATTCAGAAAAGAACCGGATTTGATATGTTCATCTTGATCTTCCTTGCACAAAGAAAAGTTCCTAGTCCTGGTGGAATTAGGCTTCTATTTGGTTAATCAAAAAAAAAGAAAAAGCCGTCACTTGATTGGAAATGTCTGAGTGAGAGAAATGATAGGGAATAGAAGGAAAAGACCATATTTCACCCATATTGTCTCCCTGTGAAATCCATAAGTGATTTTAAAATCCTTCTCTTTACACATAACACTGCCCACTTCTCCCTTTGACAGCAGACTTATTTTCTAGAGTTTCTGAAAGTAGAAGAGGAGGCAGACCCTCTCTCAGTTTTGCTGTAATAGGGTTAGGATCCTAGGAGTTTTTCATGATGTACTAATCCTCTTCTTTACTCAATCCATTTTACGCTCTGTGAACAGCTCTATAGCATTTAATTATTAGTAAGCATTTAAAATATGATTTTCTCTTGCCAAGTGTGTCTTTGTCCGCACTCTCTCTGCTCTCTTTTTCTTTCCCCCTTTCATATGTGAAATGATCATCAGTTGAAAAGTCTGAATCCTGACCTGAGAGTTTCCATAGTACAATCTGGACTCTCCAGTCCAGCAGATAGAAGCTTCAGTCCTGAATCCTGCAGGTCATTGTTACTTAGGTCCAGTTGTCTCAGTCTAGAGAACTGGGAACTGCGTAATAAGGACAGCACTTCACAGGTTCTCTCGGACAGATTACATACATTCAGTCTGAAAAATTATGAAGAAGAACATAATAGCACTGGTGTTAAAGCGTATTCAAGGTGCGACAAGAAAACAATAGATTTGGCAATATTTCAGGACCAACTGGAATCTTCATTGCCTTATGTTAAAATAAACAAAAATGTGGCAGTTTTCTGTGATTTTAAAATCAATACTAAAACTGCAAAGTCATGAGAGAAGATAATAATATTGGCAATTTTGGTCTGTTGATGAAAAAGAAAATGTCTCTTGATGTGACCTGAGAGTTTCCAGCATACAGTGTGGACTCTTTAGTCCAGTGGACAGAAGCTTCACTCCGGAATCCCGCAGGTCATTGTTACTCAGGTCCAACTCTCTCAGGCTAGAGGACTGTGAGTTGAAAACTGAGGAGAGAGCTTCACAGCTTTTCTCTGTGAGGTTACAGCCTCTCAATCTGAAAAAAATATACAAAAGAAGGGTTTAATTAAAGTGTGTCTATGGTGGCCAAAATAGTTATTAGATTTAGCAATATTTATTCTGTTTTGTTTTGTCAGTGGGGTTAGGTTAATTGGTAATTCTGCATTGTGAATGTGAGTGTGAATGGTTGTTTGTCTATATGTGTTTGCCCTGTGACAGACTGGTGACCAGTATAGGGTGTATTCTGCCTCTTGCCCTATGGTAGCTGGGATAGGCTCCAGCACCCCCTGACAAGTATAATCAGAAGAGAATGAATGGATGGATGGATGGATGGATGGATATTTTGTTTTAGGACTAAGTGAAATCCTTATTGTCTCTTGGCCTTATGTTAAATAAGTTAGAAATTTTAATTGTGAAATTTATCCTGACCTAGACTGAAATGCTAAAAATATAAAGATGCAAAAATATGTAAGTTAAACTTAATTACTAGGGGTGCAACGATACACAAAATTCACGGTTCGGTTCGGTTCGGTTCTTTGGTGTCACGGTTTGATATTTTTTCGATACAAAAAAAATGTTCATGCCTTTTTAATTTGTCATTTATTAAGATTATAAATATATATTTTAACTCAAAAGTACAGTTTTTAAATTTAACCCTAACCCTTGTGCGTTTTTTTTTATTTTGACAGCGAATGCGCACCTGCGGACCACTTATGTGCAGCCCTGGTTATTTAGCTCGTCATATTGCAGCCACAGAAATTCTTTTGTCCATGAAACCATAAAGCTGCACTTTCTTTTTGCCTTATAGTCTGATTTGTCATAACTTCTCCGTTTTGTGGTAAGCTTTTCTTTGGCTGTCACTTCTTCACCCTGACCTGTCTTATTTGGCTCAGCAGAACTAAAATATATATCCTGCTGCTTTTAAACACGCACTCACATAAGCTCAGCGATTCTCTGCGCGATCAACCTCTCACATGTTTAAGCTTGCTGCGGGAGATTTCACTTGTCATGTTTGCATAGTAAGCTAACGATTAATAAGACCATGTCAGAGGAATTGGTGCACAAATTATCATCACTCACCAATCAGTGCTGTCGCTCTCTATACACAGTTCGCATGATTGCAAAGTGAAAGCAAATTCAAACGCGATTTCAATATGTCACATACTGACAGTGGCTCACCGATGCCAATGACATAATTACCCAGCTACATTTCTGAAAGAATGCAAAAGCATTGACATATACTTTTCCTTCCTACAATAGCCCGACTGGCAGGGAAGAGATAGGTTTTGGTAGCCTGACTGAAAAAAATCGCTAGCCCCGGGACGTCGGGCTAGCGATATTGCGAGCCCTGTATCTGATCGAGGAATCACTCATCTTTGGAAAAGAGAGTTTATTACAGAGAAATGTCTCTTCCCAAAATAAAAGCTATACTATCCGCTTCTTCTGGGCTATATTCTCAGCAGCATATTAAACATATAAGGAGAATCATGTGCTAACAGCTGTCTAAATGACTCGGCTAAAGTTAGTAGCATGCTTGCTTGTTTTTGTCTGCTTCCACTTGTCTTTGCACTAGGATGATGTCGGCGTAAATGTGCAGTCATATTCGTTGTGTTCCCACTAGTGCTTTCAGGTTAATCTCGTTGAAATGACCTTAACGCCACAACACGGAAAATCTCCGCTACCGCCAATCGCCCCGTGCATGGGGCTAGATGGCCAACACGTTAACGAGCTAACTGCGCTAACACACTAGTTCCCACCCATTCAATTGAGCATTGCATGGCACAAATAAACATACTGTTTTACTTTAGTCCATGACTCGCTTACCTTCAGGGTCATACGTCACATGAAAACCAAAATAATTACAAACACCAGATCTGAATGAGGGTGGGGGAGGTCCATGTTGCAAGGAGAGCTTAACTTCTGTCTCGCTAGCTTGCCCTGCGCTCTTCCTTCTGACGATTCAGCCTAGGCGGAGTAGTCGAACGCAGATTCACTGAGCGCTCAACACAGACAGCATCGTCAGAAGGAAAGTTGATAAAATAAATTACAAATTTTGTATTGTTCGATACATATGCGTACCGAACCGAAAGCACTGTATCGAACGGTTCAATATCGATACAAATATCGTCGCACCCGTATTAATTACCTATGTTAATAATGTATTTTTTTTCCCCATAAAAACAAATCACCTGAGCTAACCTGATAGTTTCTAGTCTACAGTGTGGACTCTCCATTCCAACAGACAGAAGCTCTACACCAGAATCCCTTAGGTTATTGTTACTCATGTCCAACTCTGTCAAACTAGAGGACTGGGATCTGAGAACTGAGGACAGAGCTTCACAGCCTTTCTCTGAGAGGTTACAGGCACTCAAGAAAATGTGATTAGATAAATTCAAATGATGAATACAGATGAGCCAAACAATACAATTCGCCAGTTAATTAAATGCTATCCTGGGACAAATCTTAAATAATTTGAATTTGTTTAGGGAAAACTAAATTCTTTCTTTGTATCTAAATGGAAACCACTGAGTGAAAGATACATTTATTGATATTAGTTCAGCACCAAATGGCAAAGGCATACAGCCCTGTCATGGGTGTTTAAAGGACTGAAGCCATGTTGTTTTTTTTGTTTTTTTTTTTCGGGGGGGGTGTTATTTAGTAGGTGCTTGTTGTTCACATTCTAATTGTTTTTGAGAGACTAAAGAGGGATAGAATTTCTCATCTGAGAACCACAATGATTAAGTTTCTCAACACATAGTCATATTAGTATACATCTGTTTGACAAAGTAAAGATACAAAGATCGCCAGGCAATGTAACCACACAAGCAATGTAAACACTGTGATTCAGTTTTCAGCTTGTTTGTTTTTGTCTTCATTTTCCTGATATTTAAGGAAATGAATATAAAAAAATTGAGATTACATCTTTTTGTTGGATTTTTTAATGTTGCTGATATCACAGTTAGGCATGCGTAGACGCAACCTCAAAGTGTGTGGACAAACCAGTGGCTACAACTTGAGGAAGAACATTTTGGAGAATTGAGCAGAGACCCCTATGTTAGTAGGATTTTCATGTGCTCACGTTTAGTGTATTGGAAGTAGGTTGTTGTGTCCAAATTTGTTGAGCTCCTTAAATGTTTTTCTTTTTTCTTCAAAGGTTATCCAGGATTTAGTATATGTTTGTCAGAGTAAAACTCAAATTTTAGTGTCCACAATATTAAAAAGCTTATCAGCTGTACTAAAATTAATAAAACTAATTTGGTAATATGGTACGATATGGACTTATGATGAAAGAAATCACTGAATCAACCATATTTTGTAATGAAATGGATGAGCACAAATATACTTACAGAGCTTTGTTGGATGCTTTGACCACTGGAAGCAGCTTCAGAAGAGCCTCCTCTGAAGCAGAGTATTTCTTCATGTCAAACATGTCCAGATCTTTTTCTGATGACAGTAAGATGAAGACCAAAGCTGACCACTGTGCAGGAGACAGTTTGTCTGTGGAGAGATGCCCTGATTTCAAGGACTGTTGGATCTCCTCCACTAGAGAACAATCCTTCAGTTCATTCAGACAGTGGAAAAGATTGATGCTTTTCTCTGCAGACAGATTCTTTCTAATTTTCTTCTTGATGTACTGGACTGTTACCTGATTGTTTGACCACTTACTTCCTGCTTCTGTCAACAGACCTCGTAGAAGATTCTGATTGGTCTGCAGTGAAAGACCCAGGAGGAAGCGGAGGAACAAGTCCAGGTGTCCATTTGGACTCTGTAAGGCCTTCTCCACAGCACTCTGGTGGATATACTGGAGTTTTGGTTTGTTAAATAATTTAGACAACATGGTTGTTGTTGGTTGTTCCTCTTCCAGCAGATTGACTCCAGAGTTGATGAAGGTCAGATGGACATGAAGAGCAGCCAGAAACTCCTGAACACTCAGATGGATGAAGCAGTACACCTTGTACTGGTACAGTCCTCTCTCCTCTTTAAAGATCTGTGTGAACACTCCTGAGTACACTGAGGCTGCTCTGATATCGATGCCACACTCTGTCAGGTCTGATTCATAGAAGATCAGGTTTCCTTTCTGCAGCTGATCAAAAGCCAGTTTTCCCAGTGACTCAATCATCGTCCTGCTCTCTGGACTCCAGTGTGGATCTGTCTCAGTTCCTCCATCATACTTGACCTTCTTGACTTTGGCCTGAACCACCAGGAAGTGGATGTACATCTCAGTCAGGGTTGTGGGTAGCTCTCCTCCCTCTCTGGTTTTCAGCACATCCTCCAGAACTGTAGCAGTGATCCAGCAGAAGACTGGGATGTGGCACATGATGTGTAGGCTTCGTGATGTCTTGATGTGGGAAATGATCCTCCTGGCTTGCCCCTCATCACTGAATCTCTTCCTGAAGTACTCCTCCTTCTGTGGATCAGTAAACCCTCTGACATCTGTCACCAAATCAACACATTGTGGAGGGATCTGATTGGCTGCTGCAGGTCGTGTGGTTATCCAGAGGCGAGCAGAGGGAAGCAGATTCCCACTGATGAGGTTTATCAGCAGCACATCCACTGAGGAGGACTTTCTAGGGTCACTCAGAAGTTTAATTTTGTTGAAGTCCAGAGGAGGTCGACACTCATCCAGACCATCAAAGATGAACACAACCTGGAAGTCTTCAAAGCTGCAGATTCCTGCTTCTTTGGTTTCAGTAAAGAAGTGATGAACAAGTTCCACCAAGCTGAACTTTTCCTCTTTCAGCACATTCAGCTCTCTGAAAGTGAATGGAAATATGAACTGGATATCCTGGTTTGCTTTTTCTTCAGCCCAGTCCAGAGTGAACTTCTGTGTTAAGACTGTTTTCCCAATGCCAGCCACTCCTTTTGTCAGCACTGTTCTTACTGTTTGATTACTTGCAGTTGAGGCTTTAAATATGTCTTCTTGTCTGATTGTTGTTTCTGGTCTGTCTGATTTCCTGGATACTGTTTCAATCTGTCTAACCTCATGCTCATCACTGAGCTCTGGAGTCCCTCCCTCTGTGATGAAAAGCTCTGTGTAGATCTGATTCAGAAGGGTTGGGTTTCCTGCTTTAGCAATCCCCTCAAACACACACTGGAACTTCTTCTTCAGGTTCGATTTAAGTTCACATTCACAAAGTGGAGAAAGCACTTCTGAAAAAACACAAGTAATAAATTAAAGTAACGAGTTGTGCATAACTATCCAAAAATTCCAATTGCCTGAAGACTAAGTATAAATGTTCTATTTATCCAGAGGTTGAAATTTTAAGAGAAATCCCCTTACGGTTCCATAGACGCTCAGCCAGATCCTCCTGCTTCATTCTCTTCAGGAACTGCACTGCAATCTTCAGAATAGCCCCTCTCCCACTCCTCATCTGCTCTTCTTCATCTTTACTGTCCAAGGTCCCACCTCCCTGCTTTTTCTCTGAACATTCTGGGTTGTCTGGACTCAAAAGTCTCTGGATTTTCTTCAGCTCCATCTTCACAAAAGTGATGATGTTGTCCTCCAGCCGCTGTAACAGAATACTATACAAATGACCCAATCAGACCCAATCATGGAGCCAAAAAGCAGAGCTATGTTGAACATTTAAGATAATCCAGAAATCTACAAAGAGCAATGATATCTGTTACCAGCATAGCTGTAAAAGTAGTTGTTATATATGTACAGACCATAAATATATTTTCCAGACATGTTTGATGCTGCTGGGCAGACTGACCACTGGGAACCTCTGAGCTCTCCCAGTCGACTCTGTGGAGGAATCATGAAAAATTAGTTCAGGCACTGAATAAAGGTCCAGGAAATTACACTTTGACAAAGACAGTTATTGAGAGGACTCCTGTAATTGTAAAAGTTTACTACTCTTGCTGATCCGACTAAGAAGCAACAGCTCAGTTTAATGTTTTTCTTTGAGTTTAAGTTCTTGCCGTGTTCTGATAAGCTTTCATGCTCAGCAAACTTCAAGTTTGAAACGTTAAACTGTATATCAGATTCTGGAAATATCAGTCAATCTTGGTTTTAATCTTGTTCAATCTTGTTTAAATCCTTACTCCAAGAAGTCCAAGAAGTTGAGTCTTTTCCTTGAATTTAAAGAACCATTTACTGTGCCATCCATTTTCATGGACACAAAAATGAATTTTTTTCCACTGGATTTTTTATATGTGGCTTTCTCTGGATAAACAAAGGACAGAGGACTGGACTGCACGCTGTCATAGAGATCAAGATCCCCAGCTTAACTTTATCCAAAAAAGGAATAAAATGACTTAACATGCAGTCTTTTTATGGGTAAAGTGCTAATAGTTAGTGATGCTTAATTCTAGTCAGAATATAATCGAATAAAGGTCTAATCAATATGATGAATAAGAAAAAAAATAGCCCAACCATTGAAATGATTCCAATACCTGACTTTTAACTGAGATTTTGTGTGGAGTGGTATGTTTAGTACTAATTACCCTCCGATGCTGACGGTGGATCAAGGAGACCAGCGCATATGCTGCAGGCCCGGATGTATTGTCTACATTGGCTGTCCCTTACCCTTTACCCACCCCTGTTGCTTGTCATGTGTTTCTTTGGTGTATTAAGAGTTTTTTCATGTGCTATGTGCAGAGGTGTTTTTTTTCTGTTCTCAAACTGATCTTCCTATTGGAGCTCAGTTTGGAGGGAGTTATTTTTTTCTCCTTATCTGTCCTCATGTGGTGTATTTTCCATTGTTATACCTCTCTGACCTGTCTTGCCCATGTGATGTTTTTGTGTAATGTATGTATGGTCGGAGGGTAAGATGGCGCCGCCATTGCGTGCAGTAGGTGAGCAGCCTTAACATGAAATTAACCCTTGTGGGACTAATAAAGGTATATCTTATCTTATCTCTTATCTTAATGCTGATATTGGTCTCAGAGAGTCTCTTTGTGTAAGGGGTGATAGGAATGAGAGGAAGGAATAAGTGAGACACTAAGAAGGCTGAAGAATCTCAGAGAATCTCTTATTTTACAATGTATGATTTAAAAAACAAGTCATTGAGAGAAAAAAAAGTATTCCTATATAACTGAAATAAAAAGGGATAATGTTGAAATCATAAAGAGTCGTGATATGCATGAGTGACTGAGCTAATGAGAAATTATGTTGAAGTACCCTCAGCATGTTGGGGCTTTCTCTGTATTCCTGTAGGGTTTTTTACCTCACAATATGAAGCAGCAAAGTAAATAAAAGTGAATTTAAATTATTATTATTATAATAACTAGTGAAAACAGTCGACAGTACATTAGTGAGATTGAAAAAGACTTCTGTAGAGACTATGGCATTGTTAATGTCAAATGAAGTCTACACAACCCCCAAGGAAATGTTCTTGCAAAGCATGCTGTTCAGATTGACAAACTCCCTCTGATAAAAAGAGGATCCACTGCTAGAACTGATATGCTACAGAGCAACAGCTATAATACCTACTGGTAATAACCCGGCTGGACTATTCATGGGACTTAAAATCTATCTACTCTCCCATCACACAAAGGGAACCTGATTCCAAAACGGCCAGATTAAACTCTAATCAGATGCAGAAATTATGATACAAAACAAGAAGCATTTTATTTCAACAGGAGACATGGAGTGAAACACCTGCCTCCACTTCACTTCTCAGCAAGAAATGAGACATAACAACAGAGTTCTTGTCAGAAACACTTCAGGATAGGTGATGGACATAACAAAACACTTCAAAGAAATAGAATAATCTGTAAACCTGGTGTTAGATCTTTATGTTACAGTCATTATTATAAGAAGTTACTGTTTTTTAAAACAGAAAAGTTTAACTAATTAAGGTTACACCCAGGACCTGAAGTGGGAGCCCACCATCACCTCCGTCATCAAGAAAGCCCAGCAGAGGATGTACTTCCTGAGGCAGCTGAAGAAATTCAACCTGCCAACACGGACGATGATGCAATTCTACACTGCAATCATCGAGTCCATCCTCACCACCTCCATCACCGTGTGGTACGCTGGAGCCACTATCAGGGACAAACAGAGACTGCAGCGTGTTGTGCGCTCTGCTGAGAAGGTGATTGGCTGCAAACTCCCATCTCTGCAGGACCTGTACACCTCCAGGACACTGCGGCGTGCAGCCCGGATCTCAGCTGACCCTTCTCACCCTGGACACAGTCTGTTTGACCTGCTCCCCTCAGGCAGGAGGCTCCGGTCCATTCGCACCAGAACCTCTCGCCATAAGAACAGTTTCTTCCCCTCTGCTGTTGGACACATGAACAATAACCACATGACTGTTCCCACCACTAACACATGACCCTACGCTGTGTCACTGCATCATTCCATGTTTGGCACTGATCACCACCTGCACTCATGTATATATCTTTCTACGTAGCACTCATAATTCTTATTCTCATGTATATATCTCATGTATATCCCATGCACATATCTTTCTTTCTACATAGCACTTTAATTCTTATTGTTTGCACTGAAGCACCGCAGCAATTTCCTAATGTTGTAAACCTCAACATCTGGCAATAAACCCCATTCTGATTCTTCTGATTCTGACATTAATATCAGAATGCTACTGTTTAGTAAATGATAACTCAGGTTTGTATAAGTAACTCAGAGTGAAGTCAGTTTAAAGGGAGTTGTCAAGGTGGCACATAAAAGAGTTAGAGTTAATCATGCATGTGACTAATATGTGCATGGAGCTAATAAAGTGAGATAGTGAGTACAAAAAACTATATTATTCTCTTTTCCTTTTTTCTGTTTTTTGTAACAACTTCACAGGTCCTTTTTGCTTGTATGTTTGAAGTCTGGATGTCCATCCTTATCTAGAACTATTGTACAAATACAGTAGTTCTTTTTTAGGTACAGTAGCAATTTGTATGAAAACTAGATTTCAGTGAATACTACTTGATAATTTGGGGGTAAAATCAATAAGGATATCTTACATTATACAGTATACAACACAACATAAATGATAGAAGAAAAAATTTGGATAAACATTATTCTATGTTTGCTGAAGTGGAATTTCAGTTATCAATGCTTTTAAGAGACAATTTATATAGTATTAGAGAGGATGATGTGTTTGGACTGCAATTTGTATACGATAACATTAACAGGAGTTTACGTGTACATGTTGGACATGGTTATTAAAATAAAAGAATTCCTTGCTCACTGACTTCCATTGAGATGTAGTTTAGAGACCATGACACAACATCACACAGTTTATTCAAATCAGAAAACCAAACTGGAGTTAATTAAAGAGTTCATGTAGCTAACAGATCACCTTTCTGCAGCAAATGGTTGATGTCCTTTAAAGTGAATGAGGCGCTCTTCAGACCAGTCACTCTTTAAAGACACACAGCTGGGTTCAGCTCCAGGTTCAGCAGGTCTCTCATAGATCCTGTTAAATAGAGAAGAAAAATGTACTTTTCGTTTGCTGCTATATAAGCTGATGAAGACTTAGAACACCTTCATCATCCAAAAGAAAAAAATGATTTGCAGGCTGAGCATGAGGAGAAGGGAACTCCAAACTAGTGTTGGCAGTGTAACAATAGGACAACAGGTGACAGACAAATAGTCATTTACATCAGCGGTCCCCAACCTATTTTGTGCCACGGACCAGTTTATGCCCGACAATTTTTTCACGGACCGGCCTTTAAGGTGTCGTGGATAAATACAACAAAATAAAACTAGTACCGGTACCGAAAAAAAGAAGATTTATTCATAACACACGTGAAAAGACCCAGGAAAACAGAGTTAACGATAAAAACAATAACAAAATAACGCTGAAAACCGATAAAAACCTTGAAAACCATACACTTCACACCTGAGCCTCAACTCTCGTGGCCCGGTACCAAACGACTCACAAACCGGTACCGGTCTGAGGCCCGGGGGTTGGGGACCGCTGATTTACAGTATGCAGAACAATTGATAGTCTTACTATGAGCAGTTTGAGTTACAATAAGTAATTGCAACAATATCGGGACTAAATTAGCATGTCCATACATATTTTTGTTTATTAGAGCCCTAACTTCAGTTCAGGAAATGAGAGTTGATGTGAGGAGGAAGAGGATGGCAATTTATCCAAATGAAAGTTGCACCGTCTTTGTCTTTCACATTTCTGCTTCTTTGGTGAATGGGATACCTCCTCAGATGATAAAATATAGGTGTGATCCATCATATTTTGGGTCTGAAGATGCAGACACAAGTTAAAATTTGTCTCCATGGCATATGAATGCCTTTAAATTCTCTTAAATTCTCTCTGTCTATTAAATAACAACAAAAAATGACTGTCTGGACCTTTAAATGTACATGTTGAACATGTTTTATGGAATTAAGGAATTAATCACTCATTAACTTTCATTGAAATGCAATTTAGAGGCCAAAACAACATCGAGATGTTCATTTAAATCAGGAAACCAAACTGACAGGTATCAAAGAGTTCATGTTAGTGACACCTCTCTTCAGCAGATGGTTGGTGTTCTCTAAAGTGAATGAGGCGCTCTTCAGACCAGTCACTCTTTAAAGACACACAGCTGGGTTCAGCTCCTCCAGATTCAGGTCTCTCATAGATCCTGTTAAACAGAAAAGAAAATAATCTTTTTTAAATTTTCTGTTACAGAAACTGATGAAGACTTAGAATACCTTCATGATCTGAAAAACTAATTTGTATGTTGAGCATGAGCAGAAGGAAACTCCAAACTAGCGTTGGCAGTGTAACAGTGTCACCCACAGTAAACACCACCATTTGCACAATTGCAGAACTACTGATGGTCTTGCTATAAGCAGCACAATTTCAAAGTTATAGTTTTTATAATTTTCCCACCACATGTCAGTAGATTGCACATTAATGGCAACTGATTTCTGTTTTTTTACATCTCAAAATCATACGCGTGCATGATCCTAAGTATGGTGGCAGCTGTTGGGCAAACAACTCTGGCTGCCATTCATCTGTATGTAGGCTGTCAGGCTGCTGTTAATCTCATCCACATATATTTACTCAGATACGACTCAGTGAGTCAGTGAAGGTCACTTCTGTCGAGTGACAGTGATGCTGGGGTGAATTAAGGATATTCTTAAGATTCCTATTAGTAAATGCTGCTGTTTTTGCTGCTGTTAGCCAGCATTAGTGGAACTTTCTTTAAAGTGGATATTACTGTTGCTGTTAAATGTAGCAACATGGTCTTGGAGGAACACCGTCTTGTTTCACTGTATACTGTGCCACTCTTTAAGGCTCAAATGACAATAAAGCCACTTAACTTAACTTGAGTTGACAAATATTGTTGAATTTAGGCTCTTATTGAATAAACTGTCAAATGATGTGAGAATGTAAACTGCTTAGCAGCGGAAAAGTGGGACCTTTAGGACACTGAAGCCTAACATTAGCTAGCATAACATTAGATTATAGCTAACTTGTTTTGTTTGTTTCCCAGCCTGTTGTCTGCTATACAGAAATGGAAGGGTTGCATGAGTAATATGGTGACATTATGTTATTTTAACAATATCAGAAAAAAATGATCATGTTAGTGCTGTTTCTTGTGTGTTAGAGCCTGACATATGTTCAGGAATTTTATTTAGATGTCACTAACATCTTACTAAAATGTTTTACTTTTCCTTTTCACCTTAGTTCTCATCTCCTGAACTGACATCAGGGCTCTAACACGCCTTCATGTTTTCATTGCTAATTCTAATTACTTCTAAGTTTATGAGAATGCATTACTGTTTCAGAAGAACTAATAACACACAAATCAATATACATTTTTAAGTACAATATTCTGTTTTTATATTAAGGGGAAAAGACTAACTAGACATTTGAAGCACATGTTATACGTGTACATATTGGACACGTTTTATAGAATAAAGGAATTCCTCATTCAGTGACTTCCTTTGAGCTATCAAAGAGTTCATGTTACTAACAGCTCACCTCTCTGCAGCAGACCGCTGGTTTCCTTTAAAATGAATGAGGCGCTCTTCAGACCAGTCACTCCTTAAGGACACACAACTGGGTTCAGGTCCAGGCTGGTTCCTGTGAATAATGATGGATCAATGATGTGAGTGCTGAGCTGTGACATGGAGAAGAGTCATAGACAATTAGAGATGTCATCTCACCTCTGAGCTTCGGTCTGGCTCTCATGTTCCCCACACAGAGTGGTTTTAGAGAGAGGGACACCCTCCTCTCTGTCCTCACACTGATCCATGCTGCTGACTTCACATCCACATCACCCAAGGTTGCAAAAGTACAGACTTTCTTTACTAAAAGTAGAAGTACAGATACCTGGGTTAAAAAATACTCCTGTAAATGTTGAAGCACTGAGGCAGCTCCATCAAGGACAATTCTATTAAAAGATTTTTGTACAAAGGTAACTGAACCTTGTGCTGTGTCAATATGATAATAAGTTCATATTTGTACAAAAGAACCCATATATTAATCCAAATAAATCCAAATTACAAATCCAAGTGTAATGAATATACTTAGCTTGAATCTGTTATTCAGGACACCTGCAGTGAAAAAGGTTTTAAAAACAAACAAACAAACAAACAAACAAACAAACAAACAAACAAACAAACAAAAAGAAACATTTTTTGTTGCCTACACTCTAGAGGTGACTGACTCCACACCAAAACAGTACAGTTTCTTCTAATGTGAGCTTCAGTAGGTTTTCTCAGTGCATATGATGTGATCAGCTAACCTGCTGCTTTTTGTAGATTTACGTAACTGAATTCACTCCACACTACAATATGTATGCTATCTTTATGCAATTAAGTGAATAAATCTAAGCATCATCAGCTTAAATACAAATTCATCTCTGCTACACTTCATGTAACCTAATTTTGACAATGAGGACCAAAGGCCACTATGCACCAGTCCAACACAGTGCTTTACTATAAAAAAACTCACCACATTAATATGAGCTAACCTGTTTGCCCTGCACAAAACTAGGACTTTCATGCAACATCTGAATAACACAAGTTTGTATAGCTTTGTTTGTTTTGTAGGACATTTTCCAAAATGAAAATACATAATTCATCAAAACACATCATATACAAATCCATTATGTAATTAAAGCGATGAAATTACATGTAAGCATTAAATCTGCAGTTTATCAAGCAGCCCTTACCTTTAAATATAACCTTCTTTCTTCCTCTTCTGTCCTGTATTTTCTTACATCTTTCTCCATCTCTGAGTGAAGTTATCTTGCACTCTTTTCTCTTCCTGTGAAATACAGCAGCTAGACCTTTAACTAGCAACACACTGTGCAACAAACTGCACACAAACAGTTTTTGTGTTTGCTGATGTTTGTTCATCTGATAGAAAATTTGAATTTGAAATGAGCTGCAACTAAAGAAATTACTGTTCTTCCATCCAGTAACATTCAGGATTAATGTGAACATCTAACCAGAGATGCTACTGAACATTGGTTACGTCAGTTGGCTTCCAATTAGCATCTAGATTTATTGTTTTTCCATCAAGTATCAGTTAGAAGCTCCAGCAGCTAATGGTCCTATCATGAAAAACAAAGAAATCTATCAAACCCTTACAGCAGATATTTTCACAATGATACTTTAAAACAGAAATGATCATTAATACCTGAATATTTAGGATTTGTTTAGAGCTATTATTCAGTTTATAATCAGCAGCTCTGCAATCAGTCATTTATATTTCCTTCATATGTTTAGCAGCCAGTAAGAGAAAGAATGGCACTCTGGTTCCAGGTTTCAAACACTACACATTAGGAAGAACTTTATTTGGAGAAAACCAAATGATAACACAAATAGATTTAATGATCCATGAAGGAAATATGAATTTAATTGCCTGACTCCAATCAAACACGTTACAACTAACATTTATTTTATTTTGTTTTGAAAGGACTGAAGGTAAAACAGCAGCACACTGCTGTGTGTGACTTTAATGGAGAGTCAACAGTTTTCTTCCAGGAAATAAAAACACACACAGTTTGTTTTGTGACGAAATGAATCAAACATCAGCTGTTCATCAAACTGTTTGATTCCAGTCAATCAATAATTTATAATCATGTGGATTAGTCTTCAAATAAAAGAGTGATCCAAAGTCTGTCCTGAAATAACAGCTAAACAAACATTAAAGAGCAGAAACAAACAGTAAAGTTCCTAAAGACAAACTGTTAAAGGAGGAAACAAAGAAAACTTACAGTTTCTTCAAATAGAGACACGAACAAGAAGTTTCTGGACACTAAACACGAAGAGATAGGTGAGATGCTTCCTGGAAGGAGTTGGGACTCCACCTGAAGCTCAGGTTTGCATGTGTGTGCATGTATTGATTTTTAAATCTCTGCTCCTGTCTGAACTTGAGATTTTGTCATTTGCTGTCAGTTGCGCAATATTATAAATGTTTGTCAGGAATGTCCTCACAAGCCCAGACTTGTTAGTATAATGAACACAATACATGGAGTTAGGAAAAATACAGCACAGATAGAAATAATACAATATAGTTGGGAGGAAACCAGAGTTAGCAATGTTGCCAAGAATATTTCTCTAGAGTTTGATCAAAGTGCTGATGAATTGGACTGATCCTGGATCTTTCAGTACATCACTGTAATGAATGAAATATGACTGATTCAAACTGTGATCAAACCTTCATTATCTTTATATTCCTCTTTGGTTTAGCTGGAAAGGACACCTTCCTGCCTTTGCTGCCAGTTGTTTTTCTCCTCTTGGTGTCAACTTGGTTACTGTACTCGACCTTTGACCTCTGAGTGAGTGCAGCGTTGTTTTCGTGTGTTTTAATTCCACATGACACCTGTTCATGGTCTGATTTGACAGCATATTTCTCCACATGCACACAGAGACATTTCTGTCTCTGTCACACAAACAGTGGACCATATATTTGTTTTTGAATATTTCATGTTGAAACTATTAAGGGACCAGTGTACTTCCTCTGCAAACACGCTTAGTGCACTGAATTGTTCTGCTGTCAGTGTTACACCCTGAAAAGGGGCTGAAAAGGGGATAAGTCAATGACGACGCTCAGACACGATGCTTCTTTCAGCAGCTTCATTGCGAATGATTCAGAAATATAAACATACATACAAAAGTATTAAACATCCTAACAACGATGTACAGTCTCTGTTAGTTGTAAGACAATATATCTCAAGACTGTTTTTTTTCCTTTTCTATAAGTTACAGATTAAATTGAATGTAAGAATTTACAAAAACAGCTGATGAATCAATAAACAAACTTATATTATTAAACTGAAATGTACAGAAAATAAACAAAATATTCATATAAAAATACTAATAGGCATTTGTCCCTTCACACAAAATAAACATGTTCTTCGTCCAGATCAAATGCAAAATGCACACAATGTATGTTTCATACACAGTCTGGCACGATAATGCTTCATGCTAGCCACCAACAGAGCGCTTAGCTTAGCTTGCTGCTTATAGCTTATCCTAACATCACAGTTAACACAGGTCATCTAAGTATTCCTAGTAGCCTCTTGGTACATTTGGAAACACGGTCAGTACAACTCAACATACATATTTGTAAAGTCCAACAGCAGAATTGCACAATTATTACCTGAAAAGGGGATAAGTCAATGACGACGCTCAGACACGATGCTTCTCTTTCAGCAGCTTCATTGCGAATGAGGCATCGTGGCCAGAGCTCCCCCTTCCGGCAACGGCAGGCATAACTAATCAATCATGATCACTAAATCACATGGATTATTCCCCAGGCTCGACAAGTGGATCACAGATTGAATGTTACACAAGTTGTAGTCACATTAAGGATTGTTATCCGGTTGAACATAGTCATGAACTCTTTTAACTATTTTAGCCTGTGTTACATTACGTCTCTTAATGGGACTTCTTTTACCCTTGTTTATAGATTTACATATTTGAAATAAATTGAATAATATATTGGGTAACTATCCGGTTCTGTTCATAATTTTTATGGACAGGATTTCTAGGCGCAGCCAAGTGGCGGAGGGCTTTCGCTTTGGTGGCCTCAGAATCTCATCTCTGATTTTTGC